AGTATTCTCCTCTGTTGCTGTATGAAAGACCATGGCAGACAACAGCTTAAACAGGCTGGACATAGTGCTACCAAATGCACAAAGTAAACAAATTGGAGAGAGATTGTCCTCTAATCCGTTTTACTGTAGTTAAAAGAATTGTAGGCGTTACATCTAACAACTGCATATAGTGGAGATTTTTTTTTAAACTGTGAGATTTTAAGAGGACAGTCTATTTAAAGATCCTGCTCGGCAGCTGTCCTAGGTCTCCTCCTGAATCTGACTCTTTTCCCACCTCGTCCCTGGCCTGCTATGGGAAACCCCAACGAGGGCTTCCATTACTCTCCCCACTGCCAGTAGAGTTTCTTTCCTCTGCACCCGGCCGTCTCCCCGGGGGCGCTCTGTCCTCCCGCAAGGTGGATGGGTGTCATTCCCCCACCCTCCTCCAGGCCTGTGTCTGTGATGCCTGCAGCCAGCTCCATCCCATGTGGCTCCTCTGCCGCACTGTCGCTTTCCCCCGCCTCCTCCGCCCGTGGTGCTGCTGCCTCCCTTGTTTGTTCGCCTCGCACAAGCCGCTCTCCCTCCGGAGCCGGCGGCGGCTGTTCCTCCTGCCGCTGCCTCCACCCGCCATTGGCCGTAAACACCCCCTCCCCCCGCCCAATCTTCCCTCCCGCCGCTGCCAAGCGGGGAAGAAGCAGGGCTCTGCTGCCCCTGTGCGTGCGCCCCAGAGCAACTTGCAGCCGCGGGGCTCCGAACCAGAATCCGCGCGGGTCCTGCATGCACCTGAGCCGGCCGCAGGCGCAGCCGCGCGCACGGCCAGCTCAGCAGCCGGGGGCGCGTGTGTGGCAGGATCCGAAGAGGCGGCGGCGGCGGCAGCATCAGCAGCTGCCTGAGCGTGCTGGCGGCGGGGGAGCGCTAGTCCGACTCGCATGCACTGGCCATGCCGGCTGGCTGTGCAGCCTGGCCGGGGCGGGGAGCGCTGATCCCCTCGGCTGCGCCCTGACTCTGCAGCGGCGGAAGAGAGGGAGCTGTTGCCTTTTGCGAGGTATGGGCTGCTGCTGTTCAGCTGGAGGCTCGCGTCTCCTGCGGGCCGTACAGCCCCTGTGCGGAGTCGGCTCCGGCTGCGCTGCGGGGCATGAGCAGGGGCTTGCCTGAGCGCGCAACTTATCCCGGACTCTGTACTGAGTTGCCCAGCAAAGTGCATCCTCTCCTGGGAGCGCTGCAGAGAGACCGGCCTGGCCGCTGCCTCCGGCCCTGCCGGGGATGCGCTCTGCGGAGAGCACCGCTGGCCAACGGGCAGCCCCCGAGCACCTGGAGACCCTGTGAGCGGGGCCGCTGCCCTCTTGCTGCCTCCGCCTTTGCTGCGTCCTGCTTTTCCCAGCAACGGTCTCTGGTGCCCTGTACAGGATGCCGCTTGCCGGGGGCAGCGCGCTGCAGCCCCCTGGAGGGGCTCGCTCGCTCAGCCCCGCCGCCCTGTCCCGCAGTTTGTCCCGCCTGCGCGAGTATCGGACCCGCTCCCGGATCATGCTGTCCCTGGGGGTCACCCAGATGGTGCTCGGATGCCTCATCGTGGCCGTCAGCTTCGCTGCCCTGGCTCTCACCACCTCGGCCAGGGTCCGGCACTCCTGTCCCTTCTGGGCCGGCTTCTCGGTAAGTGCCGCCGGCACAATGCGATGGGGCAGCCGCTCCCAAGTGTGCCTTTCGAAAAGTTACTGCCCCGTCTGCAGCGGGAAGAGAGGGAGGTGCCCCCCTCCAGGGACAGGGTAAGGGCAAAGGGCGTTATTTTCCTCTCCCCTCCAACGTTAGCAAGTGAGAGACATGTACAAAGTTTGCTGCATATCAATGAGGTATAAACACCCTGCAAATTAAATGGGAGTGTGTGTGTGTCGGAGGTTCGGGGGAGGAGGGGTAACTGTGTTTTTGCCTCCTTTGGGGATTAATATGGTGCAGCTTTGTGAGTGGGCATCTCTCCATTTTCCTGCCCTTCATCCTTGCCCACGATTACCCTCATACCTACTTCAGGAGATTCTATTGCCGAGAAGATAATTTGCCTTTGGGATGTACCAGATTGCACCAAATGGCAAGTACTTTCGGAAAATGTCATGAGGGAAGATAGCCTTATCGACCCACCCATTGGTAAATTATGTGATTTATATTTTGCACATATAAAATACATTATTTGGCCTGAAATTAATTTTATAAAGTATTTGGGGATTGTTTGTTTTTTATTTTAAAATATTGGGGGGTTGAAAAAGTACTTGGAAAAGAATGGATCTTGCTACTTTAATTGTAGAATGAATGGATTGACTCCATAATACTGAGTGTCAAAAAGGATAAACATGATAAAATATTCAAATGATAGAAGTGTTACTTTCACATACAATGTCAATCCAGCTATCTACACCTTTGTGTTTGAGGAGTTGCTGTAAGGGACATGGGATCAGACAAGAACTTCAAGTAAAGGAAAAGCAGCCTCTTATGAATGCTTTACTTCTTTCCGTAGATGACAGAAAGAGCCAGGCACTTCCTTTATAAGCAAGGTTTCCTATTCTGATTTGCTGTGACAATTACGTTTCCTTTTCTCCCCTTTACTTCCCCTTCCCACTTTTCTTATGCTGTACTCATTGGGTTAGATATGACATGATGTGACCATACTTATCAGTGACACCATCAAAAAAGTCTGGTCTTGCTTCTATTGAAGTCAATAGTAAAATAAAAGGATGGAGCTCTAAATTGTTCTGAACCTTCCTGTAAACACAGGGTTTTTTGTTTGTTTTAGGTATCACACAGATTCCTAGTTATCACTGTGTTGTTATTGGGTTCAGTTTTTATGTAACTACTCTGGAATAATTTTGACTTCTAACCTGAAGAACTCTGTTTTTAGAGCCCACTGGATCCACAGTTATGAGCTGATGTCTCTCAAGTTCTTGGCACAGGTTTTATGCATGAATGAAAATGTAACTACCAGAAACAGGTTGTGTTGGAGGTAATAAAATGAAATTAAAACAGCAGGAACAGATTTTAATGTACACATGTAATACACAAACCCTCACAGTTGCAGAAAGCAACTGCACTGCTCCACTGGGGAATGTAATATATGCTGTTGTGTTGCTTTAGCTTGGCTGAATGTGGCGGTTTCACAGAAGTTCACTAAAACACATTACTAACTCGCTAGAAGGCTATAGGTCTCTAAGTAAGGTCAGACCTGGCAAAGTAGTTCATTCACCCTACATATTCAGAATATTTTGTGCAAGGAGGTGTTTAAATGATTCTGCTGACTAAGTTTCCTTTTTCCTATTGTCAGTTTTATCTCCATCATGCTATGTTAGGATGTTTAAAAATTAAAATTGCTGGACGTTTTTGAGCTGGGCAGCTAGCCTAAATCTGTACTTTGTGTCTGCACTTCTAGTATTAAAATTGGGACAGTGAAAATTCCTTTCATTAAGAGCAAAACAGGAATACTCAAATCAGTGGCGAAACCAAAGGTTACCAGGGCATTAATATCACTGAGCCAGACTCTCAGTCTTGCTTCATTTAATTTAATAGGTTGTTGGTTCCAAGATGTTTTTAACACTTTTTAATAATGTTTAATAAACCAGAGTATTTGCAGCTTTGAAGTATTTGTTCAGAAAACAAACTGATATTTGGTTCAGACCCAAGTCAACCTCTGTAAATATCTGGCAGAAGTGGCACATTTTCAAAATGGTCATGCTCAAACCAAATTATTTACTTAAAGTGTTTTCTTATTCAATCAAGCTCCTTGGCAGGGGAGAAAAAGCTCTGGATTCTGCAGCATTGTAGAACCTTTCCTTGGATTTTTTCCCTTGCATTATTTGGTAGCTGAGTCTGTAGTTTTGAAAAGAAATGTCATTTTGCAATGCTCACCTGGATTTTATAGTCATCACACTGCTGTCTTTGAGACTGAGCTTAGGCAAACTCAAGTATTGCAGTCAATGGAGATGTCACAATTCATAATGATGAGATGTTAATTTCATGTCTTCTGGCCACTTAAATAGTAATGTGCTCTTAAGACAAGACAGCTGTGTCAGGTTTGGAAGGTATGCAACTTGTCTGTGTATTCCAGTAAATAATTGGTGCATCTAACCTTTTATCTAGGTTTAAGGAGTATCACTTCTGTTAATGTGAAGTTTAGTCAGTCAGTACAAAACAAATAACTTTTAAACATAAAATTTATTTTATTTTTTAAATGATTTTTTTTTCAGATCTCTTCCTCTTATTTTGCAGGACACAAAAGATGTGTTACTGTTACAATAGTTATGGGCAGTGGCCAAGTGTTGGCTGACACCCTAGTGCTGTTATATGTATTGATGTATTTGAAATTTCAGTACGTGAGTGTGGTTCTTTCTGTGTCATAACTTAGAATCTGCTTTTAGGACACCTCTAAAACCACTTTTCCATGGCATAATGGTATATGCAAACAGTACCATAGTAGGATATTAATGCAATGACATTGCTGTGGGTCACCAGTGATAATCAGTGCCATGTCAATTGTTTCTAGTGGGATGTGCTACAGTTCTTTTACTAGGGCCTGGTCTATACTACAGAGTTAGGTCGAAGGAAGCCTCCTTAAGTCGACCTGTTAATGTATGTTTCTACGCTACCGGGTCCTTTACGCCAACTTAAGTCGCCTCTAATGTCAACTTCTGTAATCCACCTCTGCGAAAGGCATAGCACTTAACTCGATTTTCGTGGGTGGTCTGCGAGGAAGTGCAGATGCAGCAGTGTAATTCGACTTAATTGGCCTCCAAGTGGTGTCCCACAATGCTCATCTGTGACCGTTCTGGAGATCATTCTCAACTCTGCTGCACTGCAGCCAGATACACAGGAAACAGCCCCTCCCCTTCTAAATCCCCGGGAATTTTTGATTTCCCATTTCCTTTTTGATCAGCATTGGGAGGGTGCCAGTTTGAGCATAGCTGATCATGGAGACTACATGCCCCAAATGTGCTCCAGCCTGGTCTGCAGAGGAGGTGGTGGATCTCATCGCTGTGTGGGGAGAAGAGTCTGTGCAGACAGAGCTTCGAACCAGCAGAAGTAATGCAGACCTCTGTGCAAAGATCGCTTGTGGAATGGGGGAGAAGGGCTACACAAGGGACACACAGCAGTACCGTTTGTAAATAAAAGAACTTCACCAAGCGTACCAGAAGGCAAGGGAGGTGAACAGTCATTCTGCTGCTGAACCCGACACGTCCTGGTTCTACAACGAGCTGCATGAGATTCTCAGGGGTGACCCTACCAGTACCCCCACAAGCAACGTGGACACCTCGCAGGTATGTGAGTCTAGGGACAAGAGGGAGGATGATATGGTGGATGATAATGAGGAGGAGAATGGGAGACAGGCGAGCGGTGGATCCATTCTCCCTGAGAGCCAGGAAATATTTTTAACCCTGGAGTCCTGTTGGTTGCAGGACATCACGGCGGCCAACCGTGATGCCAGGAAGGCACCTCTGGTGAGTATACAGTTACAATCAAAATCCAGTTAAACTTTAGCGGGCACACACATTCAGTGCTATTGCATACCTATTGTGAAGAAAAAGCGAGGTGCTGTGGTTCTCTGCGTACAAGAGGCCACTCCAGCTATGCAGACAGTGGCCCCCCGAAAAGACTGTTTATGTGGACTGGGATAGGCCAAGAATCCTCCATGGATATCTCTAGGAAACTTTCATGGAGGAACCCTGTAATCCTTTGCAGAAGGTTTCTGAGCAGGGCAGTCTTATTTCTTCCACCAGGGTAGGACACTTTCCCATGCAACTCCTGAATTAATTCTGCTGGCATCATTGCGGTACACAGCATAGCAGCATAAGGACCAGGTCTATACCCAGATGCTTGCAGCATCTCCTTCCTTTCCGCCTCTGTTACCCTCAGGAGACTGATATCACGTAGGGTCGCCTAGAGGAAATGGGGGAAGTTCTCATTAAAAGTGTTCTTACAAGAAGAAAAGAAAAAAAAGAGCATGTAGACCTCTCCCCCCACCACATTCCGGATTGCCAAACCACGCGGCTGCTAATGTGCCTGTACTGTGCTCAGCATGAGTCGGCAAGTAGTTTAAGTGGCTGATAAGGGACTTCCTCAATTTGGGAGTGAAATAAACAGCTCCCTCCACCATTCATAAACAGCTTCCCGTGGTGCAATGGGACGACTGTTCGACTAGCTACCTCTGCTCCTGACATGAGTCTTCCATAAACTTCATTAAAACTGGGGTCACCTATGACTCGGGAGAGTGTATGGGGGGGAAGGTAACTCACCATGGCTGGAACAGCAAAATGGCACAGTGAACGGTTACGGATTCTGATTATGATATGGCTTGCACCTAGTATAATAAGATTTTTATTATTATTTATTTATGAAAATGGCCTTGCTATGGAAAAATTTTATGCATGTACAATGGTCCCTTTCTTTTTTCCCATGACTGACAGCTGGAAATGTGTCCTTCGGCATGTCATCAATACCTGAAAGCAGACTTTCACTGACTAGAAGGAGGAGAAAGAGAATGTGGGAGGACATGTTCACCGAGATAATGAACGCCTCCAGGACAGCTGACATGGAGCTGAGAGTGTGGCGGATTTCACTTTCTGAGTATTTGGACACGGAGAGCAGACAAGCTTCCCATGAGAATGAGTGTGCGGCGC